CCTGGTTGGCAAGGTGTTCCTAGTTATAAAGCGTTTGGAAAAAGGCACACTGAAGAATTTCTATTCCAATTCCTCTCAAAATCAGGAGGAGGAGGGTAACTGTATTTCCTCTCAAGGAATGCCTTTGGGTTGCTTGTAACAAACCACAAGTCTGTGCAGCAGTTTAAAGATCTGAAAATGTGAGTCTTAAAAAATGGTGGTTGATGCTTTACAGTACAGCTGAGAACAGATGATCAAGGCTTTTCGGGAATAAAATTTAACTTCAGGAGGTGTTTGATGTTTGACCTAATGCTTCTGTGCAAGAAGAATTTAAAAGTTTATAAAAGCAAAAAGGAAATCATGTGTTTAGCTCTAGAGTAATTTTTGATGCTCAATCTAGTCTATTATTTTGATGTTAATGTTTATTTTTAGGCTTTTCCATGTTTTTAAGAAGTCTCAACTCTGGAAACAGCTGGAAATAACAACAAGAATCATTTAAAGGGTGAAAGTGCTCTATTTATGCATAATAATATAAATTATGATCTTACACAGGACTTTTAATGTTCAGATTCCACAAGTAGACAGTGATCTCTGGTATGAGGAATACCAGAAGGGAAAATAAATGCAATTCTGCAGATGCCATACACACACTTCTGAGTGCAAACATCCCTCTTTCTGAAGCGAGGGGAGCCCTGTTGTAGCAAAAGCTCTGGCAGTGGCTAAATCCTTAACCTAATGGTGTTGAGATCTGCTTTGAATCTGTTAAAAATGCTAGTGGTTGTCTGGAGTTCCCTTTGCTGTGTTTCCAGTGCTGGTTCCACTGAGGGACGTTTCTGAAAGTGGTTTAGCTATGGAGAGGTTTTCTCTATCTAATGGGAAATTGAAATAGTTTGAATAGCTAATAGTTTTATAGGTTAGACTGTGTTTAGAGAGTCAAAAAATCCAGTCTCTTCTCTCGCAATAAAAATCCTTGTGTACATAAGGACTCATGGACAGAGATTATGGGACAAAGTTGTTCATGCAGGACAAGATACACACTAGAGCAGTACATCAGTGTTGCTTGTGCAGCAGCAGCAGCTAATACAGAAAAGGCACTGAGGAATCTAAAGGAGGCTCTCGGATGATATTAAGCACCATATTGCTGTTAAATGATCATTTAAGGTGCACAGAATTAAATACTTCACCTAGATCCAGCGAAGCAGAATTGCTGGCCTGAAGAGACCTTTACAGTGAAACTAATAGCAGTGGGGAAGCACTTGATGTCTCTCTGTGATATTTAGGGGTGATTTGAAAGCAGCTTTGTGGGCTGTGCCTTTTGTAGCGATGARCCCTAGGGACTCACAGAATTATAATACTAACATTTTTATTATTTGAATATTGCTTGAGCTTTGTTGCAGGTCTTCAAGGGGTTCTGCCATCTAATTTGACTGATTTGCTGGTGAGCGCAGTCTGAATGGCAGAAACCATGGGGTCATATTTCCGTCTCGGCTCCTGCCTGCTGTTGCTGTGGTTAAACCCTTCCTTCTTGCCCATGCCTCCGTTTCCCTTTTTCTGAAAGTCAGCCGTGTCTCGGTGCAGAGTTTTGAGGTGAGTGTGAGGACGCTGCCGCTCTTGTGCACGGTGCTGTCCGTGTGTAGGGTTGTGCAGAGGTTCAGCAGAGCTGCATCCGTGACCTCCAGCACGCCTGAGGTGGGCAGAAGCTCCAAGGAGCAGCTGGGTAGAGACCTATTTCTTTGGCTTCAGTTTTGGAATTCCTAGTTAAAATCACTTGCAGCTTAATCACATGTGGAAATGCTCTTCAGTTCCCCAGGGATTTTTATTCACTCAAGTTTGCTGCTAGTAATAGTTCATGTTACATTAGGAAACCATGATTCCTGACCTCAAAGATCTGAGTGTGTGTTTTGAAAAATAGAAATGGGACAGTTGAAAGAAGACTTCATTTTAAGTGTTTGCCAGAGATAAATTTGCATACTGAAAAAAAAATGACACCAAGCTTTGAGAAATGATTGAATCAAATGGCTTTTYGGGGGCTTGTATTCTTTTTAAAAGAATCACTAATAATAATATGTTGTTTGTGACGGATTACTTGTAGGCATTTCAGTGTTTTTCCTCTTGCCTAAGCAAATAGATTTGTTGTAAAGAGTCAGGGGTTGTTTTCTGATTTACTTCAGTGGAGAATCGTAGATCATAAATGTCTTCTAAAAGACTTGCAGCCATAATCAATAATCTGGAACTGATGGAGCAATATGGAAAGCGAATGTTATGCGTGCACCCTGTCCTTATTTTATATATGACATGTGGTTAAACAGTAAAGGATTTGAGAGATGGCTTCAGTGGAGGACCACAAAAGCTCATCCAGCCGGGAGAAGAGATGGCTTCCCAGGAGGCCCAACAGACCATTCCCATTCCCATGAGGAGCTCATCATAACCAGGGAGCCAKGCAGGAAAAGGAGAGGTTCCTACAGAGCATGGGAAAAACTATTTCACCTTGAAGAGCAGTGGAACAAGTTGCTCAGGTGGTTAGTGCAGTCTCCTAGCAGAAACCCTGAACAGGTAAAGCCCTGAGGAACTTGGTCTAACCTCAGAATTGCCCCTCCTTTGAGCAGAAAGTTGGGCTAGAAACCTCCCAAGTCCCTGCCAACTTTACAGAATCACAGAATATTCAAGGATGGAAGGGACCTCTAGAGATCATCTAGTCCAACCTTCCTGCTCAAGCAGGCACACCTAGAGCATGTGGCACAGGGCAGCATCCAGGCGGGTTTGGAAGACCTCCAGGGAAGGAGACTCCACAACCTCCCTGGGCAGCCTGYTCCACTGCTCTGTCACCCTCACAGKGAAGAAGTTCCTCYTCACCTGGAGATAGAACTTTCTGTGTTTCAGCTTATGGCCATTTCCCCTTGTCCTATCTCTGGCCACCAATGAGAAGAGCCTGTCCCCTTCTTCCTTGCATTCTCCCTTCCTGAACTTGTACATGTTAATCGGATCCCCTCTCAGCCTTCTCTTCTCCAGAGAAAACAGGCCCAGTTCACTCAGTCTCTCCTCGTACAGGAGATGTTCCATTCCCTTAATCATCTTAGTTGCTCTTTGCTGGACCCTCTCTAGAAGCTCCACATCCGTCTTATACTGGGGAGCCCAGAACTGCAGGTTTTGTTTTTCTCRTTTTCCTCTTTATATGGTGGATTTGGCTGTAGTTGTTTGCTTGACTGACATAATAAGAGCTCCGAAGGGGTAACATTAGTAGTATTTTTATTGCACAATCAAAGTCAGTATGTGATTTATGTCATACTGCTGTATTCCTGCCCAGTCCTGAACTGCTGTCACCACTGATAGTGAATTTTGACTTGSTTTCAGAGGATCCCATCAGAAGCAGCATCCCGCAGAGTTCAGAGCCTCTGTGTTTATCTGCCTTGGGAAAACTAACGTGCCGGCCCCTCCGGGGGTGGCTCGCACTAGGGGACACTTTTTTTGTAGCATTTACTCCCATAAAACCTTCATTCCATAGACGCAGAGCACCTRTGAAATACAACTCATGATATCTATTCAGTTGAAGAAGCTGGAAGGTCTAGGCCACATCCRTTAAACACATTCAAATTCAGAGTGCTTTTCCTGCATCCAGGGAAGTTTAGTCCCCTGTTTTGCTATTGCTTCTATAACTGTGCATGGCAGCCCAAGTGGAGTGACGATGCTGGTGTCCTGTGTTAATGTCTCCTCAAACTGGACCTTCTGAGCACCAAACGAGCTTCCTAACATACATCAAATCATTTAGTGATTAAAAGGACCCTGAAACTTAGGTGTTACAGCATATTGAGTAAGAAAATAGGAGAGAGTGGAAACGCTGGGATAGGAATTGAAACGCCTGTTCAACTTTTAATGGAAAATACGTGGCAAATCCCATTGATTCTCCATTTCTTTTCATAGCTCCCCGCCATAAGGTGTGCAGCATTCAGCTCTTCTGTCAGGCTAATGGAAGGCTGTATTTTTGTTTGTCTTTCATGTCACATTGATTCATCTTTGTGGAAAAACCCACATACTGGGAGATTTTTTTGTCCGTTGAAAGGCCCAGTGTTTGTGTCATCAACGCGGTAATTGCAGCGTGCCACTTTCTGCGTGCAGGCTTTGGTGACAGCGGATGGGGACAGAATTGCTCGAAAGGTGTTTTGTTTCAGGTGCTGAATTCTGTGCCACTAAAGCTCCGCAATGGAAGGAGGTATTAATGGTCATATATAAATTATCTGAAAGCTACACTTGTCAGCTGTTCATTGGAAGTGTTGTAGCTTGTTATAAAGATATGCTACATAYGCAGAGTAGGAAATCACTGCAGGATAGGAAAATATCAGAACTTCAAATGATATAAATGCTGATGGTTTTATATTGACTTTGCACATCAGTGGATTTTTGTGGATCTTTTCTGTAGGTAAATGGTGACCTTTAGGAAACAACCTCACTCAGCASTTTTTCCCCACCTCTCTGCTCCAAAATTCCACTTGCCACCCCCAAAATTGAAGATATGCCAATTTTCCCTTGGAAGCTCTTGCTTGTTAGTGTTTCAGTATGCTTCAGGGCTTACCCACATKAGGTATTTTCCTTGTAGTTAGTGTGAGATTGATAGCATAAAATGAGAATCTGTATGGTTTTGATTCACACTATCACTATTCAAAATAGTAATTATTTAAAATGTCATTTGGATCTCAGTATCTCTAAAATTGCTTTGTCTGACTAGAGTTACTCAAACCAGTGGGGCTTGGCTTAACCTAAAGTATGTGTTTAGCTGTGCTTGGGAGAATCTGTAYCCACGTCAATAGGATGAAGACTTCTGGAAGTGCTAATGTGGTAAAATTAAAAAGATGCTACTCATGTTTGTTCTTGACAGCTTGTACTTATTGGAGATAAGATTCCATTAGAAAAACATTGGTGTTATCAATGTGATATAGTTATACCACCTTTAAACATCCTAATGCATCTTTAAAAGGTCTTTCAATATGTAYTTAACCGCCCTGTTAATTTTCCTCCCTATTTTACAGACACCTTGAGTGAGGACACCAGACCCAAAGATCCATATCCCATTCCAAGAAAGACTATGGCTGAACCAGACTACATAGATGATAACAATCCTGAGTTAATTAGACCTCAGAAATTAATTAATCCTGTGAAGTCTTCCCGGAATCATCAAGATCTCCATAGAGAGCTGCTTATGAACCAGAAAAGGTAAAAGTCTAAAAATAGCTCTTTTTTTCTCCTCGATTGCTAAGTTCAGCAAGATGGTATTTTATTTGAAAYGCTGCAGACATGTTTTGTTGATAAGACAGCTTTGAGATTCTTAAACTTAAAATTTGTGTTTGAGTTTCAGTGAAGTTCRTCTACCCATCTTTTCCTTGATAAATTCTTTGCAGAATTCAAATGCTTGATTTCAAACAACCCTTGCTATCATTTTGATATTGGGCCATCGTTTTAAAAGCTTTGCTCATGTCGTCTGCTGTTGTGTTTATGTGCTGCGTTATCTGTGGTTGACCCTGCACCAACCAGCAGGTGGGATATTTTAGAAGGCTTTCTAAACATAAATAAATTAGTGTGATCTGCAAAATACTGGAGTAATAGTTGAAAGAAAGCTGAAGTCTGCATCACTGACTTAAGTTTAGGCCTTTCACAGCTGTTCTGCTAGTCAAAGAATCTATTGAGGAGGTTGAACATAAGCTCAGTTGTGGATCTTGCAGTGAAGCTCTATAAAAGCTTGCTGCAGGGGACTTTTCACTTAGTTCTTATGAATAGGCATTAAAGGTAGATTTTAAGAGAAAATAGTTCRGTTTTCTCCTATCACGTTTCTGTATGAGTCACAGGGCACTATCTTGGGCTCTTAACTTTATCCACTACTTGACAAAACTTTGTTTTTACCGGTAGAATCTTAAAATCTGTAAGATTTYTACCAATCTCAGCAGACTGAGTTTAGTGGACCACTTCAAAATGAAAGAAATCATGTATTTTATTTCAGATGAAATTCTTCTTTCAGATGAATATATTCTATTTCAGATGCAATCATTCTTTCTGAATGAAACTATCACAGTGTCATAGTTTGATGTTGGCTCTGCTACTGCACAAATGTTTCTGTGTGTGTTATGCAAATGCTGCTTCCTTCTTTCTGAATGTACAGCTCTTGTTTTGTTTGCCAGTTTTGAAAATGTAAAGATCTGTGGCTTGATTGCATCAGCTTCAGAGAGGCAGGGACTTGGCCCACAGGTAGCTGAAATAGGGTTATTGAGTCTCTTCAACAAATGAAGACCCGTTTAGAAAATGTAGAAAGGAAATAATCATGCAGTTGAACAGATACAAAAAATAACTGCCAGAAAATAAAAAAGCCAGCAAACCTCTGAAACTCATCAATTAAACAGAATTGTTTTAGTGATTTCATGGAGAGTACCCTGTGTTAACTTGGCATCAAGAGTACATGGCAATCCATACAGCAGTAAGTTAAGATATGATGTCTTCCTGCCCATCCTGGGAAGGATTTGTTAGAACTTGCTATTCAGATTATTTATTTATTGGTTACAAGATCTATAATTAACACAGTCCTTGGATCTTGTAAGTTCCTTGCCTAACGACATCTGGTACAATTCATTGTTTTCAAGTTTCTTTCATCGACTTGGTTGGATGCTGCTACTAGGGAATTACAATGTGGACATCCTTAGGAAGTGGCCTGGATTTCCTTTGCTCTCTTCTCTTCGTTCTGCTTGATTGTCTGTCTCGTATTTAACTGCTGTGAAGTTGTACTTAGAGATGCAAGTAACAGATGCATCTTGAGTATCCTCTTCTCCACAAATGGTCTACAGAATAAAGAGCAGAGCTCTTTGCATTGGAGCCACTCAGTATGGACTCTTCATAGGCAAAGGTGTGGGGATCCATAAAATAAAAGGGAGAAAAGTAAACAATATTACTGAGTGCACTTGATAATAAATTTATCATCAAGAGCCATTCAGCTGCTTTTGAGACCAAGGCCCTTGATGGAGGAGGTGATGGAGCTATTGCTTTGGTTTCTTCAGCATAGCTGGATTTGTATATTTGGCATTAAGGGTCACATTCTGAAAGTTTCTCCTTTTTTTACCTTTGACATTGCATTATTCTGAGGACAGAAGAAGGTCTTTTCTCCATGTAAGAGCTAAATCCTCAGAAGTGCCAGGTTTAGGTACTTAATTCTGAATGCATTGCACACACAATACAGCATTCATCTACTGGTGAAGTAGAAATGTTTTACAGAATAGCAACTGAACTGGAAAAAAATGGCATGTAGGTGTTTTTCCTATTTTTCATTAATGGGATTAAACTTCAAAGTCAGTTTCTAGCACCAAGAAGTTTCTAGGCATTGAAAGAAAAATAGTTGAAGTTTCCCGACTTAGAATCTTATTCTAAAGCTTGCAGAGGCTGCAATAAATTAAATCTACTACTTTTTCTTTCTTCTTTTTCTCTTACAGAGTTTATAAAAGCATTAGCTACTTTCAAATAGTATAAAGTTCTTTTCTTTTAGGAGAATATCCTATTACATAAAAGGGCTGTGGTGTCCTCAATACACACTCTTTCTTTTTTTGTGATGTTGATTAGGTGCAGCTGTTAATTTTAGATCCTTAATTATTGGGACAGAAATGAAATATTTTTACAGGTTTCACTARCAGAGAAACTGATATTTTAGAAACAGTTAGGACTTTGTGCTTTATGACAAAGTACTGGCTCTGATAAGAGGCTTTTCTATAAATGTTAGGCTGGTGTTCTGCTTTTTTTTTTCTGCAAATTGCCATCTATATGAAAGAATTTTAGTGCTCTCTTAAAAGCGTTGCTTAACACTTCAGTGGGAAGACTCAGGGTAGGCAACAAGTGCTTTAACTAAGCAAATTTGAATAATGTTTCTGGGTCTTACAGTTTTTAGTGGTGATTCAGTAAGTCTCTGTACCTGTAAGCAGTGTCCATTCTATTGTAATTTAAGAGTTATTTGTTTTCAGAAGTGGTGGTCCTTTTGGACAAAGATGAAGGTAATGGTTGCTCTAGGCAATGATCACCTACAATAATGTAKTTTTCCATATTATCACTACACCTTAGCTCTGCATTACTGCTTTTCCTTTGAGACATTAATGCTGTCAACTGACCGATGTTAAAGCACACTTTGCTTAGTTTATTTTASGATCTTTTATTCAACCAGAACAGCCACCCAGAGGTAGCAGAAGAAGCCTGCCTGGGGCTTTCCTTTTTAAATACAAGAGTGAAAAGAGGACTGAAGTTGCAGTTTTTCTGTCACAGATCTGACTGCCAAACCCATATGATTATAAAGAGAGGTTGTACTTGTTCTGATTTTCTGCAACTGGTTAGTTCACAGAATCACAGAATGGTTAAGGTTGGAAGGGCCTCTAGAGATCGTGTAGTCCAACCCCCTGCTCCAGCAGGAACACCAGAGCACGGGGCACAGGGCGGCATCCAGGCGGGTTTGGAAGATCCCCAGAGAAGGAGACTCCACAATCTCCCTGGGCAGCCTGTGCCAGGGCTCTGGCACCCTCACACTGAAGAAGTTCTTCCTCACATGCAGATGCAACTGCCTGGGTTTCAACTTGTGCTTGTCCTATCACGGGCCGCCACTGAGAAGAGTTTGGCCCCATYCTCCCTACATTCTCCCCYCAGCTACTTAGACATGTTGATCAGATCTCCTCCCAGTCTCCTCCAGGCTAAACAGGCCCAGCTCGCTTAGTCTTTCCTCATACGAGAGATGCTCCAGTTCCTTAATCACCTTTTCACTCTCCACTGGACCCTCTCGAGAAGCTCCACGTCCCTCTTGTACTGGGGTGCCCAGAACTGCACACAGTACTCCAGGTGCGGCCTCACCAGAGCTGACGAGAGGGGCAGAATCACCTCCCTTGACCTGCTGGCAACACTCCTCCTGATGCAGCCAGGATCCCATTGGCCTTCTTGGCCACGAGGGCACACTGCTGACTCATGGTTAACTTAGTGTCAACCAGGACTGCCAGGTCCCTCTCTGTGGAGCTGCTCTCCAGCAGGTYGACCCCTAATCTGTACTGGTGCCTGGGGTTATTCCTCCCCAGGTGAGGAAAGAGTAGTTGTCCCTCTTGCTACAGCACATCTAAATCACTCTCATGCTCCTGCTTTGTTACATGTGCAATCTTTCCAGAGAAACCAGGCATCTGGTTCCTGACTGTCGCTGACTGTTCACTAGCATGGAAATTGCTATTGACTCAGCTCCATCCAGTGTTAATGGTAAAAGGGTCACTCCAGCTTTCCTCTGCGTGTCTTAAATTTTTATGCATTAAAATGGTAATTAAAATAGCATGAAGCATAAAAGATTAGCAAAATCTTGTGACTTCTGTTACGTTCAATGAGATGTATTATGAAAAATACAGAGCAGCATTTGTTGATGCTAAATATTTAATCTTGCTGCCAGTGTATGTACAAAGATAGAGCACTGAATAATATATGGAGTCATTCATAGATGTTATGATATAATGACTTGTTAATATATTATTGGACATGCTGTCAGATAGTCCTATTATAGAGGAATTAGGCCAGCATAGAAATCTTAAGCAGAGCAGGATAAAAATCTGCTTCATGGAAGTTAATTCATATTATTGAATTTCTTAAAGTTGAAATTAAATGACTGATGTTAAACAATGCTGAATAATTTCATGTACTCGTCTTTATGGGGAAGGGGGCAGAACAGAGGCAAGTTTCAGATTGTCTGCTCTGACTTCAGTGGCGCTGGTATCTGCACGGTGGGGATATCTCTGAATCTTGTCGTAACAAACTCTGGGAAGTTCATAGCATAACAGATATGGGAAAAAAGCCAAAGTCCCCAAAACATGTGTATGTGTGTAAATAGTAATGCATCCTCTCAAAGAGTAAACTTTCTCATTTTAGACTAGTTGGCTCAGAAAATGGTTTGCATGGAACAGATTTCAAAGAATAATTTGATGTTTTGGCTAAAATCTTGCAGGGGGGAGAAAACCCCTTTTTTTTGGTCACCAGGGGCCATTTTTTTTAAGTTCTGCCGATGCAAACTTCCCTACAAATTCCTCCAAATTACCGGACAGTAAAGRATGCAGTTTTTCCCAATTTTGTGCTTTAAGCGCTGCCAACATCTTCATTTCAGATGTTTTTTTAAATTAGTTTCTGTGGAATGGAGCGAACAGAAGGAAGCAGAGAATGAAATATTGAATTAGCCAGGAGAAATACCAGTATGTATGCTGAAAGAAAATATCCTTCAAAATACTGGGGCCTAAATTCCAACATAGGATTTTGCTTAGAGACCACTAAATATCTGCATTTTTTTCCATTTTAATTAATGTACCTAAAGATGCATAAGTTGATTTGAGAAAACCTACTCACAATTTTGCTTATTAAAAGTGATGTCTGTCTTTTCCATTTCCTTCCTCCTTCTCCCATTTAAACTTGAAGGGGTCTTGCACCTCAGAACAAACCAGAGCTACAAAAGGTGATGGAGAAGAGAAAACGAGATCAAGTTATTAAACAGCAAAAAGAAGAGGAAGCACAGAAGAAGAAATCAGACCTGGAAATAGAGCTACTGAAACGGCAGCAGAAACTGGAGCAGGTGAGATGGGAGAAAACACTAGCCTGGCACATCTGCATCTGGTCTTCTCAGGCTGCCTTTGTAGAAAGGAGAGAAACAACAGCTTGTTCTGTGGCACAATTCACCTGACCAAATGCAGATATCTCTTTTAAGGATGAGTCAAGTCACACTGAAAAATTACCATTTCTTCCTGATTATATAGGTACTTCATATGTCTGCCTTTGGTCAGCTGAATCCTGCTCTGGACCACAGGAACATTTGGAGTGTTGACCACTGAAACTGGTGAATTTTTTACCCTTTATCGCCTTTAAGTTAAGAGATGATCCCCTGAAAATGGGTGTCAGACTCCTGTGCATCAAAACTACATACTTAAGGAATAAAAAAAATCAATTGATTCTTTGCCCTGCATTATGTCAGAGGCCAGGTAACTTTAAACAGATTTTTGTAGCATTATAAAATGTATGAATTTATTAGCAGGCTTTCTCAAATAAAAAAAAAAAAAAAGAAAAGAAAATTCTTCAGACCCTAAGCAAAGGTGATGTAGAGTTGCAAACCATTGCAGCTTACTGCTGTGCAGGGCCAGCCAAAGGTCTCAGAGCCTCTTCGTGTATGAGGAAAATATCTCAGAGCCTTGTTGTGTATGAGGAAAAATAACCGCGGTGAGAAAGTCTCATCAAGGAAGTCACTCTGCAAAAAACATTGCATTTGTATTTAAATAAAAGAATACTATAAAACAGTACCTGCTGTTTCTTTTAACAGAAATAAGTTAAGCCAAATAGTTATCCTATTAAAAGTTATTTATAGTTCAATCATTATTTGGATTCTTTTTTATTTTATGTATTTATGAAGAGTAGAAATATTTTGAGGGATGAAGAGAGAGCTATTTTAATTTCAAGGGTATGCTGCTCTTGTTTTCTTCTGTGCTTTTAAAAAGATGAGGCCAACTTCAAATCATTCAGATTGTAGGAAGATGCCCAACTTTATATTGATCCATCCAAGGACATAAGTAGAATAGACAGCTCTCTTAGAAGAGGTAAAGCTCGCTCATTGCAAGCAATGCTGTGACTTTGCAAGCTTCCCAGAAGTGACATTAATTGACCATATGACTCATRGAAGGCCATTGCCATGATTTACTGTAACGAGGCATGTCCCTTGTTGTTGAGCCAGAAACGAAGGAGAAGTAAGTGAGCAGTAAATATAGGTGAGCAGTGCACAGTCCCCATTAATCAGGAGACCTTGGTGTGTTTGTAGGAAAACTCCTTTCAGAATTGCTTTCGCTCTTAGTTTTCTGAAGATTTGTTTCTTCCTTTTTGTTTAGTTACCTTCACCAGGGATTGCTAAGCCATCCTTACTGTATAAAGTYTCTAAGCAAAGTTTGCGCTGGCACCGTGCAGCCTTGTCCTGCAGAACGTAGCATCCCACTGCACAGATAACTGAGTCGCTGCATGGGCAGGGAAATGTCAGTGAATGGACTGCCAGGACTAAACAAGCAGTGGGACTGAGGAGGTTTCTTGTTTGTATCGGTCTCTGTGATAAGCAAAGCAGGTATTTATCAGAACATGCTTAAGGTAGATCGCTAAATGTATACCTGTACACACAAATAAATGAGCAAGTTTGCTCAGTTATAGCTGTTCATATGTGTTCTCCTATGAGACAGATTTTTCTTGTCCTGTTCTAATAGCCTGAGAAAGGAATCATTGTTATTTTTTTACTGAGAATGTCTAAGGATTTCTTCAAAAATTCTGTACCTTATTCTCTTAATGGACTAGCCAGATTTTGTCCGTCTGGTAAAGGTGTTTTCAGGCCTGGTGGAATGAGCTAGAGCCAAGGATTTGAAAAGATAAATAGTTTATGAGAACAGATACTCCCAAGGAAGTACAAATTTGTCTCCTCCCCATCATGGAAAAGATAATCTAAAACATTTTGCACAACCAGTTATTGAGGTCAAATATCTCTGTCTTAAATGAATTTTTTTTTTAATGTTGTATTTTGATGATCTGTTTTATATRCTTTTTTTTTCTACATTAAAGCTGGAGCTCGAGCAACAGAAGCTGCAAGAAGAGCAGGAAAATGCACCTGAATTTGTCAAAGTTAAAGGCAACTTGAGGAGGACGGTCCAGGAGGCAACAGAGGCACCAGAGTCCTAGAGCCAGCTCCTGCTTAGATGTCCAGTGTTCCAGAGGTGGCTGCTGAGAGGCTTCTGCAGGTTGTCTCAGATTCCTCCCTCAAGAGGGAGAATAAGAGCATCCAGGTGACGCTTGCTGAAAAAGAGATTTTTTWAAAAAGATTTCTGGGACGTATGGATTAAAAAGACTGTAACATAAACAGATTGACTTGCCAAATGTGATTCTGAGACCAGTGGATGAGGAGTCTCTTTGTCAGTTCGGTGTCGTGGACCAGTCTGAAGAGCTTACTTGGAGATTTTAACCAGGGATACTAGAGAAACTTCTTCAGTGTTGCACTGCTTTATCTCTTGCAATCCTAGTTTAATAGAGATACCCAGATTATATTTTGCTTTAAAAAAAAATAAAAATCCTTTTTGCTGTGCCCTGCAGCTTGTGTATAGCCCACAATAATTCTAATTTAATTCAAGTTTGAATCAAATCTGGGAAGAAATGAGTTACGTTGATCACAAGATAGATAGGTGTGGGGGAGATGAGAAATGCTTAAAATTCAGCATCAGTGAACAACTAAGCAACCTTAAAGCCTAATTATCCCTGTTGAGGATGTAGAATTTGGMCTATGAAAGAGCAGAAATCTGACCATCCTCCCACTGGAGAAAATTCACAAGCTGATTTCTCTCTGTGTCTAAAYTCTTCAAATATTGTGCACAGGCCTGGGCAGTGCTAACTGTGAACTTAGCTCTGTGATTTCTTAATGCAAAATGATCTTTCTGTTTTGAAATCCCACTTCGGTGTTGTGGCCTTTCTCCTCCAAGGATGTGCTGATCTGAATACAGTGTTAACACATCACTTAGTAGTGTTTAAATTTTTTTCCTGGCGTTGAAGAGAGATCCAGTTCTGTCACYGTGTCCTGCTTAGCTCTTACAGGAACTTGCAATAGAGCAGTGTTTAAACCAGGTCAAACTGATCATGGGGATTTGCTGAAAGAGATTTTTTCCTAAAGTGAGGCATTGAAATTATTTTTATCCCACCCCTTCCTCATGCCTCAAGAGAGAAGGGGAGTATCACCTTATCATTAAGTGTTAGGGTCCAATTCTGCACCTTCTGCCTTCCTGCAAGTTGCCTCTGTGATTTGCCTTTCAGTAAAACACTCCTCATCTTGTGTAGGGTTGGCAGTTCTGATCCTTCATGTTTATGACTACTAGTTACCCAGGAAAACCTGGGATGAGGAGGGAGGAACAGATTACACATGTAGGAATAAAGAATTGAATTCCTAACTGGTGTGAGCAGGTGCAGGTATCTTCTCTTGAGAAGTYGGGGAGAAATCCTCATCTTCTCCGAGTGGCTTGTTCTAGCTCCCACTGAAGCTGTTTTCATCCATACCAGCTAAGGATCTGCTCTTAGTCTTTGCCTTAGGATGTGAAACAAAATAATTTCTACTTTGTAATTGCATTGAACATAACTGCTTGAGAACACTTTTTATTAATGTCAACAGTGGCGTGTTTGTGTTGTGAAGGTGGTCAGGGAGGGTCAGTTTGTTTGTTTCTAGTTTCTTTTGCCTTTCCGGAAGGTATTGGACATTTTAAATAAAATTTCAGCTTAGCACTCGGGACACAATGCTCCCAATTAGCAATGTCTCCTAGATACAGCCTTCCATTTGTCAAGATTTGTCAAGCATTTCTCATGAGGATGCAATCAGATTAAGAGTAAATTAAATTGTGATAAGTGTATTGCCATTGACTTAGATTTGCAGTGTGAGTCATGTCTAGAAGATTAAATGTGAAGATGGTTTACCAGACTGTTCAGACTGTGGACATACGAAAGACAAAGGCCAAACCTATATATTTTCGTATGTATTTTCTCAACAAAGRAAAACCTTAACTGCTGCAGATTTCTTCCTTCCCTCTGTTCCTTCCTCTGGAAGGAGAGAATCTTAATTTCTGGCAGCACATTTTTCAGATATTTGCACTGATTGAGCTTGTTTCACATTGTTGATTGTTGAGGCAGCACTGTATAGTGGATTTCCACACCACTGATGTTTTTTCTTAGCCATTCCCTGCCTACTTCTTAGTACCTGTTGGTTTCCACTCTGCAATTGCATTCTGTCCAATATGGTGATCTTTGGAAGCTGGAGAGAAACCCTCTTTTGGCTTGATGAGTCCATTGCTTCTTGGTTGTTTCCTCTCAATGGTCGTGGCCATCCTCGTGTGCATGCACAGGGACATGAATGAAGTTGGGTGTCATCCGGACAGCAGCGGAGTCCACGCCGGGGGACTGCTCCTCGACTCGCTGAGCGTTGGATTGGGCCCGTTGATGACGAGTGCTTTCTGCTTTCTGCTTTCTCTTCATGCTGCCTTGTGATTCAGGGCAGAGCTTCTCCTTCTGAAGCACAGGAAGCCAGAAGACACCCCTGTACATACAGTGTGAAGTAGACCTGTTTTCCATTGCGTTCTCTGTACAAATAGGACATTGTGTTTGTTAGAGCACCATTTCTGCTGATCTTTTAGTCTAGGAATCCGCATCACCTTTGTGATCCGCATCTAGGAATTCGCATTACCTTCGTTAGACAGGCAAAGGCTTGTCTTTAAAATCAGGATTGGGCTGGAATGTGCTACCCTTACCTGGGGGCCCAGCTGGTCACACCGCAAGTGTCCTGTGCGGCTGCTCAAGTGGGAAGCTGCTTGCCAGCGAAAGCAAGCTATGGATCTGCTCTTCAGCTCTGTGAATTTGGAAGCAATCCTGCAGATACTTCAATGAGAAATCTTCCTGATTTAAAATGGCTCACTTCTACCACTTTTGCCTCTTAATAAGGCAATACTTTTTTAAACTTCTCTTGCTTTTTGATAGTATAGTAGTAAATTTTTAGACTCTTTGTGACTTTAACCTTTTGTTAATATCTGCACTTGTTTGAGTGTACATATATAAATATATATAAATATAAAAAGGGAGCCTTAATGGATTTGTTTTCATAATTTAATATTTTTTGTATTTGCTCTTGTATAATTGTTTTTAACTAAAGGTATTACAAAAATGAGGGTGGAGTACTTAGAACCAAAGTTATGCTTAATAAAATCTACTACATGCTTGGAATATGCAGTGGTGTCTGTCATGTCCTGCTGAAAACGAAAACCTCGAGGACTGTGGTGAAATATCCAGGTTATTTAATATTCTRCAGTGCAGGGGGAAGTATCAAGATCACAGTGACTCTCCGTTCCTTAAAACTTCCCCTGTGTTTTTATGTGCAAGATCATTGGCAAATCATTTTGACAGAGGCAGAAGAAACTTCTTATTATCACCTGAATATTTTTCTCGCACAATGTGTTTTTTAAAAAGACCATGTCTTTTTAAACAGGTAAGAGGCAGCGTGAAGAAAATCAGCACCAGGTAAAATTCACCCTTGGAATCACTCACACTCTACTCAAAAAAGCAGTGAGAAAATAGTAATGAGCCTGATTCTGGGTTCAGTCCTACAAAGGTGCTTTTAATTTAGCGTGCCTATGGCTCTAGCAGGGAAACCTGGGTATGCAAAAACAAGTTTAGACTCAAATTATTTGTTGGATTAAGGCCAGATGGTTGCACGTTTTACAAAATTGAACCAAGAGCAAAATCCTGCGTTAACAGCAGGCTGAGAAAACTAGCAGTGGGGGGAATAGGGCAGGAAGAGGTGTGGGTGATAAATACTCTTCTGCAAATGCTTAGCTCTTAATGATGAGCCCTGGTCAACCAGGGACAGGTGTTGATGGAAGGGGAGAGAGAGAGAAGTGCTAAGATGAAATGACTTGCGGGAGGAGGAGAGGAGCAGGGAATTCAGAGCAGATGTCAGGAAATGCTTTTTCCTTCAGAAACGGCTCAGCATGTGGAAAGGATCCTGGCAGTACTGCTGGTGCAACGAAGCTGGATCTGCTCCAGGAGCTGTCAGATGTGGGGGAGGTAAGAAAGAATAGGGAGTTAATAAGGGAGAGGTTTCTATGGCCTGTAGGAGATATGGCCCTGTACTCTCTTACCTCAAGCATGTCCAAATGTGTTTTGAATTATCCTTTGATATTTCGTTCCAGCTCCAGAAAGAAAATAGAGTAGAAGGCRTTTGATCTGCTTTTGTAGCAAGTCCAGCAAAAAGATGATCTTCCTTTTGTGTGCTCTTTTGGATTGCGCAGAGCTGATGCGTTGTGTCATGTGGCTTTTGCAAGGGCAGGTCTGCGGCAGAGGGATCCTCGTGATGGTGCTTTGCTTGTGCTCCCATGGTTGTAAGTTCGCTGAGTCAACCATAGCTTTGTGGCAGGAGGTACCTTGGCCACCAAGGGCTGTAAATTAAGTAATTTCCTATGCAACTGCTCTGTTCAGTTCATTACTGCAGTGCAAATAACTACCTCATTATAATCTGAACATCCAAGTAGTGTGATGCTGATAAGATCAATATTGGTATCTGTAGGGTGAAGAATGAGAGAGTTTGATTCTCAGTACATACAACGAGAAGAAAGCTCAAGTGGGTGAGATCTGGAGAAGTGGAAACCCAAGGTATCTTTCCCCTACCTCCTCCACTTTCAAGTATTTGCGCAACACCTGAAATCATCTGGCAGGGCAAAGGTTTTGCAGTGCTCCTGTGGAAATTAATGATATTTCTGCTTGGTGGAGGTGATGAAACCAGTGGCTTGGAGGATGAATTTCGTGATGCCGACAGAACACAGCAAGTCTGCACTCCTATGCCCATCTTCGGCAGCCCATTTTTTGAGTTGCTCTGAACTTTGTTAAAGGCTTCATTCAGGCCCTCGTACTGCCACTTGCKGCCACCATCGCTTCTCTGAATATACGCAGGGACTATTTCTGTTACTTTTTGACTTTTGGGATTTCCTTCCACTGATGGTTCCCTTTGAGCTTACCATCTGGATTGCATTTATATCCATGCCGAGAAATCAACACTCTGGAGTGCAGTTCCTTTCCTTCCCTAGAAGGGAATCTACACACGTAACTTTCAGGGAATTTCACCCAAATACCTCAATAGATCTGGCCCTTAATCTCTCAGTGCTTCCTAAACAGGGATAATGTTCCCTCCTTCTCCCCTATGCTTCCCAGCTCTTTGTAGAGGCCTTTGTGCTTGCTTGGAGTAAGTGGATCCTGATCCTGGATGAGTCCCAAGCAAGGGATGTCTGTGCAAAGGGCTGTTGGGATGGGACCTGCAGGGCTCTACCTAGAGCTCTAGCAGAAATTATCAGGATAATAATTTTCTGAATTAGCTCCTATTATGTACTCTAAACCTCATCTCTCCAGTTGATGGCATGAGCAATTTAATACAGATCAAAGGTGGCACAGGGGAACTTCACACTGATTAGGTGGAAAGAAAAATGTCCTACTACCCCCGCCTCTTCAGCTGCTCAGAAAAGACATCTTTCATAAAGCAACTGAAATGCCTAGTCTGCTTCATTGTGCTTGAAAATTAAAGAGTGCCCAGCCGGCCTAAGCCCCTTGCTGGGGCTGTTTGAATCTTGTATCGCACATTGTGAAAAGGCAAAAAGGAAGCGGCCGGCAGAGCCCCGCGTGGCCCGAGCCGAATCCCGCCTGTTTGGGGGAGCTGGAGCGCAGCACATCTGAACTTTTCTCTCTGAAAAAGGGGATTTTTTTTTCATGTAGTGTGGGGGCTTCTGATATTAGATTAGATTAGATATCCTAGTCCAATAGGATATCTTCCTTTGAACTCTTTTTGGTTTTTTTTTGGTAAATTGAACTAAAAGAATCTCCAATGAAAAGCTGATCAGGAATTTGCTTTCAGTGCTTGCAAAGAGAAACTTAATGCTAGCAAACCTGGGAGGCTATTCCTTTACTTTTATGAGTTGGACAAGTAATTTTCCTCAGTGCATAATTTCAGCATTTGTCTTCAATGGCTTAGATGGTCAGGTGTGTTGGTGGTCAGGTGTGTTGGTCTTTCTTCTGCATGGTATTTTAGGGTCCTCTTAAGGAAAGTTGAGCTGAGTTTCTGTTGGAAAGGATGGCTTTGTAAAACGTGCTGGTCTTGGTCACAGTCCCCTGCTACATGAAGACTATTGGTTGATTAGAGAAATTCTCATCCTGCTTGTAATATATTTAGGATTCACTCCATCAACACCACRGAAGAAGTTCTCTTAATATCAGAGCTCTTGCATTTTTGTTGTTCCCTTCTGCCAAGCGAGTCACTTCTGCACCAAGAACCTCATTGTCTACATRGCAGTCAGGAAATGTTCCCCATCACTGGGACTGGAGGCAAATAGCAAATTCCTGAGAGTTTTAAAGGCCCCTCAGGAGGAAGCCCCCGCGAAATTCTGATATTCAAGAGTAGGAATCCCCCCTGCTTGCAAGGGGAAAAAAAGATGATTACAGATGGGCCAGAGAAGGTGAGAGCCCAACASATGAAGAATCTCTCATCTCTCTCCTTACCCACGTCCCTGTTGAAGCTGAGTATGGCAGAGCCCTGTGCATGACGTTGTGTGTTCCTGTGTTCAAACCTRATGTATCGCATGGCTTTTCTTTCCCCGCCTCAAGCTCACATGTGCTTCTGATTCCTCTCTTGTTGTTTCCTTTCACCCCAAGCTTTTGTTGCCTGTGAAGACCTCCTGACCTTGGATTATTTCCAAGCACTGGTTTGCAATGAAAGGCATTCAATTAGTTGGGAATTCCTGGGCTGCAGCATCGAAGGGGTGTTTTGAGGCTGGCAACTGCACTGACATTCAGTGGGAAGGGATGATCCTCAATGCATTGGTGTGGGGAATGGAAGCAAGAAATATTCTRTATGCAGGGGGAAATAGAAGATAGCACTGAGAAAAGAACTAGAGAATGAGGAAGAGTGTGAGATCTGGGCAGCCACAGGTAACAATCAGCCCAGGAGACTCCCTGTCTGATGGAGCATAAACGAGCGACTAGTGTAGCCCTACCTGAGCTTGGTCTCAGAGCCCCGCTTAAACCAAAGGGTAGTGATGATAAAAGTCCCATGGGGCTGAGGGTGGGATTTGAGAACCGTTGTGTGTTTAGTAACAAGCTCAAAGCACGTGGAGAGGAGTGGTCCCAGGGCAAGTGAAAATTTCATGTGTTTCCCTGCGCAGTGGTTCAACCCGCACCCGCTGCTGCCATCTCCTGGGGTGAGCRGCGCTGAGCGCGCGTTGTGCACGGCTGCTGTGGCCTGGGACCCTCCACCAATCCTCCTCCTGAAAGGCAGCAGCGCTTGCCTCTTGCTGCACCGCGATCTGGTGCCTTCCTGGCGAAGGCGGAGATCGGCCCTCTGATCTTCTCATGATTTATACAACGGTCACTGCTGTCCTTGTGCTAAGAAACCCACAAATGAGCCTCAARATTTCAATGATTCCGGAGCCTGGACTCACAGAGACTTTGCTCTCCTGGTTCCTATTAAAATATCCCATCTCCCTCCACATGCTGCTAGGCCAGAGGGGCTAGTTTCCCCTGGAGATGTCTGCGTGGCACTTTGGACCATCCTATCCTGGCTGATCACCTGAGAGATCCAAGGGTTTATCAGAATGCTCTGGAGACATAATAAGCCCAAGTGTGCCCAGGTTGCACCAGTGATGCAGGTCCAGGTCCTCAGTCGTAAACAGCGGTGCTTCCACCCTGTTGTCCTCTCGAATCGC